ACCTGGTAGTGGATCCAACAAGGAGAAATTGCTCTTAATTCCCACTCAAAGAATACAGTTTGCTGTGGAGGGGGTAACCTTGGACATAGTTACAGCAAAAGCTTATTTATCTCAGGAAGATTCTAAAGAGAGTCAAGTGCACGTCCATCCTCCAATATCTGTGATAACTTTCTTCAGGCTTCCAGGGCACTAGGTTTCCTGAACTTACGTAACTCAGCATGCCAGAATTGGTTACATGGAAGAATAGTTCAAGTCATTGTATCCACTCCACACATACCACCTAGAAAGGGAGTTGCAAGTCCAATTGTCCTTCAACTAATGTAAGGCTTCTGGTTCCCTGGCTTATTTCATGTCTTCCCAGCTCTGGTTACACAATAGGCCCACTGCTTCCAATTCAAAAGCAAGATTCACACTTCCCTCTCTGCCAGGGCTATCCGGCTTTGAAATTTGTGTATATCCACCTGTGTATGCAATTGGATTGTAATCACAGCTGCTTATCTTCTAGGGCTTTAGAATGTGACTATGTATACTCCTACCAGGAACTACTTCCAAGACCACAAGTGGAAAAGAGGAGCCAGCATGTTACCCCACTGCTGGAATATACAGAGTATCCCCGCCCCCCCAGACTTATTCAGCACAGCAATAAATAAGAGATGTACCTTACCCCTGGAGCAAAACTGGGATAAGCTGGGTCCCCTATTTGTAGGGAATGCTTTTCACCTTCACTGTCTATTGTATGCATTTGTACCAACTCCTCTAATAACCAAGTTCTACTCAAAATAAAAAAGGACAAGCCAGAGTCATCCTAATGGTTCCAAACTGACACAGACAAATATGGTTTCCTTTCCGGATGCAACTTGATCACTCTCCAGGCCTTTCCTCATCTTCTCTCAAAGGAAAGCAGAAAGATCCTTCATCCCAGTCTCAGAGTGCTTTGTCTCAAAGCATAGTTGGTCATTGGTTCATGGGGTTGGAAACAACCTGCTGATAAGAGTTACAGCAGTGTTTCTTAAACTGTGTTCCATGGCATACCGGTGTGCCGTGAGGCAGTCGGAGGTATGCTGTGGAGAATAACAGAGTTCAAAATGACCACCCTTAAAGGAGCAGGCAACCTTTATTTATTTATTTGTTTGTTTATTTATTTGTATGTTTGTTTATTTGTTTATTTATTTGCTTAATAACTCCCCCCAACCTTTTTTTCCCCCACACTAACTGTTCCCAACCTTTTTTTTTTCTTCTTTGCTCAACAAAAAATCCTTGGTCTTCTTCATTTAAACAAAAATTGTTTGATGTTCCTTGGTCTTAAAAAGTTTAAGAAACATTGAGTTAGAGAATATTATTACACAGCAGAAGACCGGCTTCTCTCTACACATACACGTAAAAATGGACCAGATTTGTCTGTTGGTATGACTTCAAATTTATTTCACTGGTGACCTCATTGCTATTAGATGTACTGAATCATCCTAATACTAAAAAGCTTGTGGCTATCACTGTGCTCTATTAAAGTCCACATGGTAGTCGTCATGGCTTTCCATTCTCCAATAGAGGGTTATTCCAATTTTACCTACCCAATTGACAATAACCTTCCCCTAGTCAAGTGTCCTACTTGTGTTTGGGGCCTGAGTCTAGTTCTTAATGCATTACATGACCACCATTTGAACTGACTGATACCTGCTTGCTCCTCCATTTATCCGTGAAAATGATATTCATGATAGCCATCATATCAGCATGATAGGTTGGGAAAATAGAGTCCAGATGGCTTTTGTAGTATTTTTAAGGGCAAAGTAATGTTGTGATCACATCCCAAATTTTTACCTAAAGTCTCCCCTGAGTTCCATGTTAGCAAACCTATTTATCTGCAAATGTTCCACTCTAAATCTCATCCAGATAAACAAGAGGCAGTCCTTCAAATCAGAATTGCCAGGCCACCTATCTGGATTAAACCTTCAACAAGGCCCCCAAATTGTTTGTCTCTATCGCAGATAGATCAAATCAAAGTTCTCTAATCAAAGATTTTTGGAGTGTTTAACCAACTACATTAATCCTTGCAGTGAGTCTCGTAATATTCAAGCACTTTTGGACATATGAACTCTCTTTACAAGTTCCATTTCCACTTGTGTGGCATGTCCTAAAAACAAGCTTTTTACTGAAAAATGTCAATCTGCTATTTTGGGTTTTTATACATATGTTTGCAGAACACTATACAATAACTCACAACTCTGCATCTGATACTGTTTGGCTGTTTCACACTGGACTTGACTACAAAGTTCCCCTCTTCCTCATTGGGGAACTGCTTGGTAATCACCTAGGGTGCATCTACACGGCACTGTAACTCGAAATAGATACACAATTTGAGCTACGCAAATTGCGTTTCTTATTTCAATGCTATTTTCTATGCTAACTTAGTTCGTCATTTCGAAATAAAGCACTATTCTATAACATCCCTTACTCCTCGTAGAATGAAGTTTACAGAAACATCGGAATAGCAAGCCTGAAATAACAGGCTTGCTGTGAAGACATGGGATAGCTATTTCGGAATACTCTGGTATCCCGAAATAGCTTTGCAGCGTAGATATATCCCTAGAGTAAAGTATCTAAAGGGGCACTACTTGAAGAAAAAGAAATGGTTACTCATCCTGTACAATAACTATAGTTCTTGGAGATATTTGTCTATATGGATGCTCCACTATTTGCCCTCCATCCCCTCTACTTTGAGTTCTCTTTTCTGGTAAAGAAGGAATTGAGGGTGCATCAACCACACAGTGTTATATAACAATGGCATAGGGTTGACTAGCACATATGTGAAGGCTGAATACACACCGCTATGAGAAATCTCTGATCAGAGGCACAGGCAATGGTACACTTAGATTGGAGCACCCATAGGGACACACTTCTTGAAGAACTGTACTTGCATGGGGTCAGCAACCATTTTTTTCTTAAATTGAAGATATATTTTGTTACATAATTTTGAACCTGATACAGTTCCTCTGCACAATGAAATTGGAGTTCCATAAAAATAAATATATGAATAACTGTATCACTGTTTTTCAGGGATTTCATTGTTACATAGCCCCATGCTGGACCTGGACAGTGATGTGCGTCCCTCTCCACTTGGCCATCTCAGTCAGACTGCTTCACTTAAAAGGGGCAGCAGCTTTCAGTCAGGTCGTGATGACAGTAAGCATCTGTTTTATTTACAAAATAAAAAAATCTATTTCTAGCAAATCCCTAGAGCTGGTTTATTTTACTGTGTGTTCCGTAAGTATTCAAATTTGATACAGGGTAATCGTATTCATTGTTCTAGTCTGTTGACAGAAAATGAGCTACCAGTCCATAACAGAATAATATATGTATGTGAAAGTTATTTTCATATTCTGCCTCTACTACTCTATAAAGACATAGACGTTTTTTAAAGGTAAATTGCCAAGGCAAAAAGGGCTTGTGCTTATTACAGGATTGGATTTCCATCACTCAAAAAAGGAGCCCACTAAACTGAATAGTTTTCCTCTCCTTATAAAATCCTGAATAAAAATCTCAAAAAACACTATACTAAAGAATATTCCCTTTGCTGATCTAAAAATTACATCCAAATCTTCTTTTCCAAGTTGCAAAGCAACAATGTCTCTTTCCATTTTTAGTTCAGGATTTGTCCTATGCTTTAGGAACTACTTGCCTATTTTTATTATATCAGTATCTTGGTCTCTGTAATATGAACCCCAGCTGCCTTTGTTTTTATGCATGTAAATGACTAGTCAACTATTAGATATTCAAATGCTCCCCCTACCATATTGCCACTATAAGAGAGAGTCATCAAAGGGGGCGAGCTTTAAGCCAGTCCACGGCGGGGCAAAGGAGACAGAGGCACAGCAGGGAAACGGCACTTTCAGTTCCCACTGTGGGCACTTGTACATTTCAAAAGCAGAAGAGCCCTGTGGGGTCAGAAGTGCGACAGGGAGAACGGGTCAAGCAGGCACTCAAGCAATCCCTGTGCTCTCTGTGGGGTCCCTTCCCCTTGAGAGGCAGCAAGGTTGGGGGACGAGCTGGCTTCAAAGCCAGTTTCCCTCAGCACTGTCTCCGGGGTGCCCCCTGTCCGCTCCTGCTGCCTCTGTTAGAGGCAGCAGGGAAAGATAAGGGAAGCAGCGCCTGTCCACAGGGGTCCCAGCAGGAAGCTGGGCCCCTCATAGAACGGGGCTGTTGCCGCAAAGCAATTCCTATTTGTGGTGGCCAGGGCTGGCCACAGACAGGGACTGCTGCCTGAGCAGCCCCTACCCACGGCCAGCCCTGGCCACCGCAAACAGAGGCTGCTCCAGCCCCAGGTCACAGCATTCAGAGCTGGCCACCACAAACAGAGGCTACTCTGACACCGGCCCCTGTTTGCAGAGGATGGGGGCTGCTGGATTCAGTGAGCTGGCTAGCGCTGATTGCTCTACCAGCGGCACTTACTACAATTAAAATGCAGAGTCGCAACGCAGGTGACTCTGAAGCTGGCATGAGCCAGGTCTGCTCATTCCTCGCTCAAGTCAGCTCCTGGAGCTACCCCCACTGCGGCTCTGCAGAGCAGCGCTTATCTACAAATTGTATTGACTAGATGATAGCCAGATAATCGCATTTTAGCATCCTTACTTTGTTTCCCTGTTACTTAACACCTCCAGGCCTGGTTATGTAAAGCAGTAAACCCAACAGGGAAAATATGATTGCATGCCTTTGTTTTACCTGGATGTCCTTGTGACGTAGTGGGGGTACTTGCTGGGCTGTGGTGACCTCTGCTGTCTGGAGCAAGACCCAGCAGGGAAAACCTCATTATGCAAAGGTAATGCCAAACCTGTTGAACCAGACACCCCCCATGGAGAGGAACAAAGGAAGGTGGAATGCTGCCCTGGCTGTGGGGCAGGGCTGGAAGAGTGTGAGTTAGTTGCTGTCTGGGAGCATGGAGGAGACAGCCTAGGAAAAGGGGCTGGAGTTTAGGGGCCCAGTCTCCCCCCATCTCAAGGGGGCCTGAGGCATCCTAGCCCAGCTCTGTGACCAGATTACATCTGTGCTGTGCTGTATCCTGGAGAGGCAATAAACTTCCTCTATTCCACCGGCTGGTGCAGTCTGTTTGTGCCATTTCGGGGTGCAGGAGACAGAGGACCCCCAACGCGCCGTCACAGTCCATAGCCAAGCTCCCTCTTCTTTTCCAGTAACTAGATGGGCAGCATGAGAACCATTTATGTGTCCATGACTTAGGAATCTAAGTCCTATTAAGCCCCAAGTAGCAAGATCATAGGTGACTGAAACTTGAATTTGCATCTCTCCCAGACTCCTTTGACAAGGATGAGAATATAAGGGAATGGAATTTGCCTTTTGTATTTGCCTTTTAGATCACATGTTTAAAATAGTCTTTATTCTCAGTTCAAAGTTATTTTTTCCACTTTTCCTCTCAGCTTGGCGTTGCAAAGCTCCTCAACAAGTTGCATTTGTTGAAAAGTTGACAAAACTTGTTGTAAGTCAGCTCCCCAACTTCTGGAAACTCTGGATTTCTTATGTGAATGGAAGCCTTTTCAGTGAGGTATGGACTTATGCATACAAATAACCTAAGTGGCTTCATCTCGACAAAACTCATAGAATTATTTTGTATCTCAATCTGAGTTTGAAACTGTAGGGCTGCGTCTAGACTGTCATGATATTATTGCGCAAGTGTTTTTCCGTTGAAAGTATTTCCGCAAGAGAGCGTCTATACTGGCATGTGCCTTTGCGCAAAAGATTTGCTTTTGCACAAAAGCATCCGTTCCAGTGTAGACGCTCTCTTGCGCAAGAAAGCTTTGATGGCCATTTTAGCCATTGGGCTTTCTTGCGCAAAAAATTAACTTGGCTGTCTACACTGGTCCTCTTGCACAAGAATACTTGCGCAAGAGGGATTATTCCTGAGCGGGAGCATCCGAGTATTTGCACAAGAACCACTGATTTTGTACAGTATAAAGTCAGTGTTCTTGTGCAAATACTTGTGGCAAGTGTAGACAGGCGGCAAAATTTTGAGCAAAAGCAGCCACTTTTGTGCAAAATCTTGCCAGTCTAGACGCAGCCTAGAAGTATAGTACCTAGTGGAGAATATGTCTGATTAAGGTATCTTTACAGCTTTTCAATTTATAGAGATTTGTAGAATGACATAAGTAATTGTACATATATTGATTGGTGCTTCAAATGGGCCCACTTTGCTTGTTATGAATGTTTCAATAACTTTCCTAGCAACATATATGTAAGGGTGCTATTTTAAAAAAAACTGAACGCTTCACAATAGGAGCTATTTTATACTGTAGTGTAGTTCTGTGAATGATCAACTTCTAAAAATTGCAATGTACATAGTTTCAGCCCTGCTTGTCAAAATCATCAGCCAACTGTCCCATGTCGGATCTTACATTTAGCCTCATCTAAGAAGACAAGATATTTGGTAATCCTAAGAAATGATGAAATAAATTAATCTTAAAGATATGAGAGACAAAGCCAGAGGGAGAGTGTTGTCTTTCTGGAATGGGCATATATATTTTGTAACTTTGAAGAATTTGGATATGAGGATAGATTTAACCCCAGAATTTCAAAATGACAGACGCCAAGAACTCTGTGTGTGTCTGTGTGTCTCTCTCTCTGTCCCTGACACATACGCGCACGTGTGCGCCAAATCTATGCAAAATAACTGTAGTGGCATGGATCACAATTGTATTTGTTCCTCCTCTGGTCTTGTGGTAAGTAAATCCAGCCCATTAATTTTGTAGCATTATTGTATCGTGCCCCGAACAGCAGAAAATATTTTTCAAGATGTCATCAAAAGGAATGTAACTTATACCAGTGATCATACAAAATGACAGTATTGATAGCTTTTTAAACAGATACACTTACTCAGATATGCATACAGTATTCTGTCATATAATCATTATAACTAGAGACTATAACTATTTTTTGATTTGTGTAATTGCTAGTCACCAGTTTATAAAACTACAGTGTATTTGGCAGAAAGAGACAAGCTGCAAAGGGCCTGGCCATTTCTCTACTTTTCTAATAGCAGGACACTAAGTGTAGTACGTGCCTAGAACAGGAAGTATAGTATATATCTCCATCATAAACTCATTTGTTCATAAGCCAAACCCCCCAAAGTTTAAAAAAAATGTAAAAAAATTGCAATGACCTGTTCATAAGTGGACTCTATATCAGCTGTTTTAAAAACTCCTGGTCCCAGCTCATCAGCGTAAGGCTTTGGCACGTCGAGATGTTTTGTTTACATGGAGCGTCTACAGGCATGGAGTCCTGCAGCTCTGTGTCCGTGATTTGCCGTTTTTGGCCTACAGCAGTAGTGAGAAGTGGCAGCCAACATGTCCCTTGGCCTGTGCTGCTTCCCGCAACTCCCATTGGAAACAGTGAACAGCAGCCACTGAGATTGATAAAATGCAGTGACCCGTTCATTAGCTGACCCCCACTCTTTTTACTGTGTCATATTTAAAAAAAAAAAAATCGATTTATGATCATGTGTATATATAGTGATTTTCCATAATGATGAAGGCGTTGTCTGGTAATGGAACAGGAAGCCTTCCATTGCTAGATCATCAATTCATATGAGATGCTGATCTGTGGTATTTGAAGTTCTTATAATAATATGAAGGTTGAAAAAGTCATATTTTTGAAATGTAATGTACCCCTGCTGCACACACATATCATATCCTTTGTACGTTTCTTTAAATGCATTTAGATGAGATACTATTGGGAGCTATCAAGTAGTGCAATAAGCCTGTACTTCAGGTGAGACAATGGTACCCAGAATGAGTGTTGTATTTGCAAAGTGGTGGGAAGACTGCAACATGACTAGGACTACAGTTTTTACTGTTTAAATTAATGTCGCCATCTTCATGTGATATTGGTTTTGCATGGGCAAATTTTGGGCTTTGGGGTTTTTTTTCCAGAAATGACGAAGCTCTTTAGCATGTGACAAAAGTGTTGAATATCTCCTGAATATTTTGCAGTCTTCTAACATGAAATGTTTCACATCACATATTCTTAATTATCAGAGTAATCATCATACACTTCTGTAGCTCAGTTGAAATGTGCTGATCAGATCAGTCTTAAGCTAAAGGTTGGGCAACAGTATCAATAGATTGCATTCTCATAGTTTGTACTGCATAGTGGATACATAAAACAGTGTGTGAGTTCCTCATGTAATGTTTCTTCTTTTGTAAGCTTTTGTGCATATAATGCAGCATCTACTCTGCCTGATAGGCTTTAATTTTTAATTACCTATGCACACAGAACTAACTTTTGAAATATTCTAGAAATTAGCTTTTTAATTCAGTAACACTTATGCATGGATCAGTTCTGATGTTAGAGATGACAGTACAGAGTGTCTTATTATGAATATACAAAAGCTGTGAGAGAAAGAAGAGACCCACTAGAAGTAGAGACAACAAAGTACAGGCAGTCCCCGGGTTACATACAAGATAGGGACTTGTAGGTTTTGTTCTTAAGTTGAATTTGTATGTAAGGGTATGTCTACACTACCACCCTAGTTCGAACTAGGGGAGTAATGTAGTCATACGGAGTTGCAAATGAAGCCCGGGATTTGAATTTCCCGGGCTTCATTTGCATAAAGCCAGCCGGCGCCATTTTTAAATGCCAGCTAGTTCGGACCCCGTGCCGCGCGGCTACACGCGGCACGGACTAGCTAGTTCGGATTAGGCTTCCTAATCCGAACTAGCTGTACACCTCGTTCCACGAAGCGAGAAAAGCCGCTCTGCATCTCCCTGGTCAGCTGGGGGGGGGAGCCCCCCCCCAGCAGACCAGGGAGACGTGGAGCAGCTTTTCTCTCCGCAGCTTTGCTCCGCGGGTCGGCGGGGGGGCCCCCCCAGCAGCCCGGGGAGACGCAGAGCAGCTTTTCTCGCCGCGGCTTTGCTCCGTGTCTCCCTGGTCTTCTGGAGGGCCCCCCCAGCAGACCAGGGAGATGCGGAGCGGCTTTTCTCGCCATGGAGGACGCGGGCGGCGGGACCGCAGCACGTCTGGGCGATCCGCCGCGGCAAGAAAAGCCTCGTTCGTATCTAGGGATCCGACATAAGTTGGATCCACGTAAGTCGGGGACTGCCTGTACTCAAAGTCCTTGCTTCTGTTCTGCAGAGGAATGAAAAGCATGTTAAAGCTCATACTGACCATGTCATCAACAATATGAGAAACTGATTTAACCCTGAATAACCTCTGGAGGTGCTTATCAACATATCTACAGCATTGCACATAGGTATCAGTTGTATAATAGTCTCATTTAATTCTGATGGGATATGAAGCTTCTCCAGCCCAGTTTAGAAATTTGACAAAAATATTTACTGATACTGTCAAGAAGACTAAATTTAAGTCTGACAAGGAGAAACAAACACAACAGCCATGAGTTCCAAATTTTTTCTCCCAGAGAGCCCAGTTGTTAGCAAGAGGGAGAGATGTTTGAATTGCAACTGTTCCTATGGCTGGTCTACACTGAAAATGTATGTGAGCACTCCTGTCTACATTGAGGTTGGGAGAATCTACCCCCTTAGAGACACAGGATTAAGTTGACAGAATAATTCTTCCAGCACTCTAGCTACCACTTTCTGGGCAAGCGTGTTAATTATAGTAAGAGAAGAAGGGGTGATTGGTTACACTGAAGTGTTACAGCAGTGCAGGTGATGCGATGCAGCTGTGCCACGGTAGCCTTTTAAGTATAGACATATCCTCAGTCACTTATGACTCTTTTCCATGGTGATGGGACAATAAAAACGGACAAAGCTGAATTAGGGCATCAGTTGAAAGCTTAAGCTGAAAAAAAATCCATGAGCTAAAAGCACACAACAGAGAAATCATACATACCTCACAGATGCCAAATACAAATGATTGCTGTCAACAAATTCTACACATTTGATAAAGTGGCTACTGAGTACTTTGAGGCATGGGCGGAAATAATTTGAAGCTACTTCTGTAATTGGAGTCTTTGATGGGTATGCCAACAGTAACGCTGAGAACCCAGCAGACCAGGGAGACGCAGAGCAGCTTTTCTCGCCGTGGCTTTGCTCCGTGTCTCCCTGGTCTTCTGGAGGGCCCCCCCAGCAGACCAGGGAGATGCGGAGCGGCTTTTCTCGCCATGGAGGACGCGGGCGGCGGGACCGCAGCACGTCTGGGCGATCCGCCGCGGCAAGAAAAGCCTCGTTCGTATCTAGGGATCCGACATAAGTTGGATCCACGTAAGTCGGGGACTGCCTGTACTCAAAGTCCTTGCTTCTGTTCTGCAGAGGAATGAAAAGCATGTTAAAGCTCATACTGACCATGTCATCAACAATATGAGAAACTGATTTAACCCTGAATAACCTCTGGAGGTGCTTATCAACATATCTACAGCATTGCACATAGGTATCAGTTGTATAATAGTCTCATTTAATTCTGATGGGATATGAAGCTTCTCCAGCCCAGTTTAGAAATTTGACAAAAATATTTACTGATACTGTCAAGAAGACTAAATTTAAGTCTGACAAGGAGAAACAAACACAACAGCCATGAGTTCCAAATTTTTTCTCCCAGAGAGCCCAGTTGTTAGCAAGAGGGAGAGATGTTTGAATTGCAACTGTTCCTATGGCTGGTCTACACTGAAAATGTATGTGAGCACTCCTGTCTACATTGAGGTTGGGAGAATCTACCCCCTTAGAGACACAGGATTAAGTTGACAGAATAATTCTTCCAGCACTCTAGCTACCACTTTCTGGGCAAGCGTGTTAATTATAGTAAGAGAAGAAGGGGTGATTGGTTACACTGAAGTGTTACAGCAGTGCAGGTGATGCGATGCAGCTGTGCCACGGTAGCCTTTTAAGTATAGACATATCCTCAGTCACTTATGACTCTTTTCCATGGTGATGGGACAATAAAAACGGACAAAGCTGAATTAGGGCATCAGTTGAAAGCTTAAGCTGAAAAAAAATCCATGAGCTAAAAGCACACAACAGAGAAATCATACATACCTCACAGATGCCAAATACAAATGATTGCTGTCAACAAATTCTACACATTTGATAAAGTGGCTACTGAGTACTTTGAGGCATGGGCGGAAATAATTTGAAGCTACTTCTGTAATTGGAGTCTTTGATGGGTATGCCAACAGTAACGCTGAGAAAACTTCAGAAAGATAGTTCCAGAAGGGATGTAAAGGTTGGATGCAAGAAGTACCAGATGATTAGTACCAGGTGATGGACGCCCTATGCCTCCATGGGAAATGTTTTAAAAGTGGCATTTAATGAACACTGAGTTGCAAAATTCCTCTTTGAAGTAGGAATAAGAGCTTCCGGAAAAGGGTGCTTTTTCCGGAGGATCGGGGCCAGTGTAGACGCTCTTTTCCGGCTTTTTTAAAAGCCGGAAAAAAGCGGCGGACATTTTTATTTAAATGCCGCGGGGGATATTTAAATCCCCCGCGGATTTCCCTACTACGATAGGTGAAATTAACATGCCCCTTCCGGAAAAGGGGCCAGTGTAGACGTAGCCATGATGTCTGCACTGTACTTCCTGCTCTACATGCCTTAACCTGTGACTGAGACCTAGCTAATTGGTATACAAGGGGGAAAAAAATCTCTGTTTAATAAAGTGATCTTACTGCTTCAGAGCTCTTTCCAATTTGGAAGATTGTGATGGGCAATCTGAAGATTCTATAGCAAGGAAGTTGATAGCAGTCCTCAATGACTAGAGTGAGAGAGAAAAGGAAACTCACAAAAATCTGACTTATTTGCACCTTAATTTAACCATTCAAAAGGACAGGTCACTGGCCAGAATTTTACCATGTAAGGAAACTTTTGAGGAGTATTTCACAACTGCATTATGGCAAGCAAAGCTTTGGATGTCATCACATACAGTTAAAGCAAATAATACATCAACATTACAAAATGGATGGAAAACATGTGAATGTTGAACTACTTCCTGTATTCTTCAAAGGCCAAGTGGCATCTGAGCTAGTCCTACAAAACCTTACTGTGTTGGTTCCTGTATTAGTAAAGGTTGCTGTGAAATCAACTATGTCTGTAGTCATAATATTCTTGCCTGCACAGAACTGGGTATGTGCAAAAGCAACAAAGACAATGGAAACCCACTCATTCTCGACAGAGAGCATAATGATGTACAAGATGATAAAATGAAGTTGCCCAGAAATGTCACCAGCATTATCACTTTTCTATTATACCAATACCAATGTGCTACCAGATTTAGTTTTAGGTTGTTCAGATTGTTGTGGTGCTTTGAGGCCACAAAGAAACCCAATTGTATGTTTTTGAGTAATACTTAGTGTTCTTGAACTAAGAGAAACCAATGCAAGTTATTTCAGCTAATCATCTTAACATGTTGAAGGTGTTATTTTTATCCTCCATTTCTATGGTAATAGCACCATATGATGGCTCCATATCATACCTCATCAACAAGTAGATACAATAAACTTGCAAATTATGTATGAGGTGCATGTGTGTAGAGAATACATTAAGTTGACCAAGTTGGTGTCTGCCCCTCACCTAAAATCCTCAGGATTGGATACATTTTGTTTTCCCCATTTCACAAATTGAAACCCTAGAGAAAGAGAGAACATGTATTAGCCGATGCCATAAAGTAAACCAGAAGTAGAAGTAGTATTAAAATGTAGGAGTTTGATTCCTACCCAGTGTTTTTTTCCCATAAAGAATTATGTCATGAGATTTATGAAAGAGATGAGAATCCTATTGAAGCTTTTAATTTGAAAATAATTACAGTTTTTTGGTAATCATAAATAACTGGTTATTTGAGCAAAGATTTGGACTTTTAAACCTGAGCTGTAAATTCAAATAGTTTTCTGTCTGTGGATTAATAATAAATGAGAAATTTCAAGAGACACTGAAAGGAACCGCCGTGTTTACAGTTGTAAATGAAGTTGAGCAGTTCTGCTTCTGGGAATGGCAAGAGAAAATGTCGCAATTTTGTTTAATGATTTGTCCAAATATTGCTTCCATGCCAAATTTGAATTAATTTTGTGTGTTACACTGTGAAGGTAACTATACTGTACTTTCATAGGGCTAGATTCTGATAGCACAAGCAACACATCCTCATCACTTTGCTCCTTTTTTGTCAATATGTAGGAAATGGCCAAAGTCCTGTGGATAGCATAGGCTCTAGTTCTTATTAGATGTCTAAAAATGCATGGGAGCTTAGAAAACTTCATTAGGAGCTTCTGAGGAGAACTTTAGTCATAACACTCTCTCAAGGTGTAGAATTTTTCTAACAGTACAGATTTTAGGCATCACTGAAGGTGTCCTTGCTATTTACTGACATTTCAGAAACAAAATATTGTTCAGTATAGATTTGGAGACTGAGAGAAAATCATTAAAGCAACATACACAGAACCATTTGAGTGAAATTCAGAAACCTGAAATAGATTAACTCTAATACAAAAGAAAAACCCAGTGATAAATAACAAGTTGGTTTGAGTGAGAGAGAGAGAGAGAGAGAGAGCGTGTGTGTGTGTGTGTGTGTGTGTGTGTGTGTGTGTGTGTGTGTGTGTGTGTGTTTTCTTGGCATGAGGGTAGGCCGTTTGTCTTAGAATATTGTCAGTTAAAGATTTATGTACTGTTTCTAACAGCTTAAAAAGTTCACAACTCTTTGAACCACTCAGATCCATATGAAGTAGCATATGTGAAGTCAAAACAGTGAAATACAACCGTTGGTCTTACCACAAAGTAGTTTTGGTCTGTCTGTGCAGGAAAGGGTTAAGATTTTTATTCAACGAAATCACTAATTGGAAAATATCTTAAGATCTTTTATACTTTTTCTTTAATATAACTTCACATCAGAGCTTTAAGGGAGCAAAGAAAACTATTTTAAAACTTCAGCCGAGTAACATTTTAAAGGGTACCTGCAGTATCGAGAAGTTTATTCAATATAGACTCATAAAATAGTCTGATTTTATTTGAAAGACCATAAAAAGGAGGACAGTACATATAAGGCTTATCAATAATATATAAGTTGGAACAGTTCAGAATAATAAAGAAAACAATTTAAAAACTAAAGTGTTTTGATTATAAAAGCTGCTTTCTATTTAAATTTCTTGTTGGTAATTTTATGCTAACTACAACATTTACTTGACATTCCTAAAAATAACCTGAAGAATTTTTAACAAATAATTAATTATAAAAAAATCATAAAACATATTAAGTGGTTTTAAAATATATTGATTATATACTGCTTTGGGGGCAATTTTAAGAGTATTTTTTCCAACCCACCGTTCTGCTAGTATATTTTTTGTCCAGTAGGTGTCACAGTGCATACATTAAATTAACAAATATTCTTCGCTATAAAATTCCACCCACTTCTCTAAATCCAGTCTTTAAACAGCTTTTTCTGTGAAATGTGCTTTGTGTTATGGCACACTTCACACAGAAATATATAATTATCACTTGCATTTGAAAACTGATAACAGTAAGAGCATTATTCAAGCCATATTCTTTTCTTCACACAACTGTAACCAAAGTTGCTAGCGCAGATGTGCTTTCATGCATCTAAATGTTCAGAGATGTGAACTGTCCAGCAAGATGATGATAAATCTTCATACTAAGTACATTACAGATGATTTAGTTCTTCACTTTAGAGAATAATGGCCTCTGTCTTCTGAAACAAAGTACTAAGCCAAAAGAAAAAGGGGAACACAATAGCTCTACACTATCCATCATTACTAAGAATGTACTTTATTTTACACCCACATTTTCCTCCAGGCACCTCTCACCTACTATGGACATGAAGATTCTTTTCCTGCAGACTTATTGCTGGATTGTGTCATGGATTTTAGAGTTTTTAACTATGTTAATGCAAAATCATAATAAAATGTTGTACTACTTGAATGAAGCTTATAATTTTTCCACTGTTACTTTACTTTCAACTTTTATTTTAGGTTATGGCAGGCACATTGTACCCCACGCTTAAATACTAGCAACCAGATACTTTGCTTGTAGATGAGACTTGAGTTAGTTTCTTTTATCACATTGTAAACTCACCACTTTTGACCCGTTTTCTTTGGTATGATTTTTTAGAATGGTTTTAAAATTGAAAGCCGTGGTTACCAGTCACTGATACTTTTCAATTGTTTCTCATTTTTACAAGACTGCTGAAAAATCTGGTCAAATGGAAAGGTCAAAGAAGAATGCTAGGCAAAGACAGAATGATTTCAAGGTAAGCTTGGTGTTCAGCCTTATTTTCGTTTAGGTGGTCCTTCAGACTGACAACTGAAAAAGGCTTAATTTTCAAATAGTGGTGAGCCTTGACCCTCTAATAATCAGGCCCCTTTTAAGGTGTTTTAGGTTCAACATCCAAAAAATCCTAGTCACTTCAAAAATAGGGGGAAAAGCCCTGATTCTTGCTCTACAAGAGTCTGTAATCCATGTAAAGGATATATATCTTGTACTGGTAAGTACATGTTCATACATCACCTGCCATTTTAAAAATCTGCCATCACATTTGAAGCCTCTACAAATAATTAGCTTTGATTGTGGTGAGCCCTACATCTTTGAACTCTCTTTTTATGCCCAACCCCAGAAATCTATTTTATTTTATCCCTCCTTTAAAAAAAATTAAATATTTTATTTTTTACAGTTATTTTTGACAGTGACTCTTATGAAATCTGGTTTTTACTTTCCCTTTTCTCATTTGGACCCTATTATTTTGTGCTTATGTTGAAGTAATTTTTCTGTTTTATCTAGTATATTTGTTTTAATTAATTGTACAGTGTTATAGCACTTTGTTTTGTGAATATAATGAAATTTGAAATATATGCCTACCATTTCAGTCTAGATTATGTGATGAATACATAACTAGTTAAAAAATATTGGTGCAGTTTCTAAGTATTTATTTTTGTGGTGTTCTTTTATGCTGTGACAGAAAATGATTCAGGAAGTGATGCAGTCCCTGGCAAAACTGATCCGTGGCGCTTTGCTTCCATTTAGCCTCAGAGAAGGAGAGCTGAGAGAGTATGGTGGTTGGGAAATGAAATCTGAGCTCTCTGGACAGTGGCTAACACATGTCATCCAGACTGTAAGGTAATTGAAGCTATTAGTCTGTATGTGACGAATCCTTAGTATGTATAATATTGTCTTAATCAGGCATGGGCAAACTACTGCCCACAGGCTGCATCCAACCTATCAGGTATTTTAATCTGGCTCTTGAGCTCCCGCTGGTAAGTGGGCTCATTGCAGCTCCTAGAACAATGGCATGTCCCCCCTCCAGATCCTACATATAGGTGCAGCCAGTGGAGGTCCATGCTCTGCTCCCACCCCAAGCCCCATCCCTGCAGCTCCCATTAGCTGGGAGCCACAGCCAGTGAGAGTTACAGAGGTAGACTCTGTGGACAGGGCAGCACTCAAAGCTGCCTGCCAGCAACTCCACATAGGAGCCAGGAGAGAAGGGGGAAACGTGGGGATGCTTGAAGTAAGCAATGCCCAGAGCCTGTCCCGCTGAACTCCTTTATACCCAAACCCCCTACCTCAACCCTGATCCCCCTCCTGCCTCAATCCCAGCTGGGAGCCCTATTCTGCACTCTAAACTTCTCATCCCTGGCCCCACCCCAGAGCCTATACCCCCAGCTGGAGCCCCCACCCCCACACACTCCAGTCCTGTGCCCCAGTCTGGAGCACCCCTTTCATTCCAGCCTTCAGCCCTTAGCCTTTCCTGAACCCCAAACACCTAGCTCTGCTGCAAGCCTGCATCCACAGGCAGATCTCACTCCTTCCCTTGCCCAAAACTCACTCAAATTGTGTGAGTATTCATGGCCTGACATACAATTTCCATACCCTGATGTTGCCTTTGGGCCAAAACGTTTGCCTACCCCTGGTGTAAACTTTGCCTATTTTTCATTCAGTTGAAAGAACTTTAAATATTGCAAAGTCAAGGACACAAAAGTTAGAATAAATGAAAACGAAGGTCTCCTGTACAAGATTATATCTGTAGCTACATAATTCCCTACTGTGTGCCTAAGGACTCTTGTCTCCTTGCATAGAGTGGACAGTGTTTTATAGATGAATCAGGGTTATGTAGTGAATGAGACTTTATCTGTAGAATCTATTTCATTTGTTTTAGATGTTGAAAAGTGTGTAGTAGATGAGGCAGGAGATTTTTAGAAAGAGGCATGGTCTCATAAATAAGACAGCTGAATGTTATTCTGGAGAAGTGGATTCTATTCCTGTCTCTTCATAAATTCGTATATAATGTTAGGTAAGTCACTTAAACCAATGTTTTCACAGGTGACCTCTTCTAGTTCGTCATCTCCTAGGTGGTTAAATGAACTAATGATGGCTTGTTATCTGATGATTAAGTGATTGTACTGAACAGACAGTACTATTGGTGTGAGCAAAGTTGTTGATCATTACCAGATGAAATTCCAGAATTACAGTGATACTGGCACACAGGCTGATGAAAAATTGAAGATTTGTGCCCATCCTTTGTGGTGGCTGCTCCCAGTATCAACCTTTTGCTGAGAAAGAGGAGCAGGAAAGATGATGGCTTTGCAGCCTCACAAACGTCCTGGTTTGGGTGGAGGGTTATCAAGTGCACACCCTTGGAGCCCAGTTCCTGTTGCTAGATGTTCCTGATACTTATGCTCTGCATAAGATATAGGGTAGGAGAAATGACAGTGATTCCATTTGCCTCCAGGGGGATGGATTATTCTATGATTTCCTTGCTCACTTTTTTGTTTTTTTGTTGTTTGTTTTTGTTTTGTTTTGTTTTTTGAAGCACCTACAATTGGCCACTCTTGGAAGACAGTAGGATACTGGGCTATATTGACCATTGGTGTAATCCAACATGGGCATTCATATGTTCTCAACTCCTTTCTGGGCAGCTTTTGTGTGTCTGTGTAAAGGTTGAACACACTTGCAGTTCTGCAGTGAAGACTGCAAATGCTGCCCTTTACAAGTACAGGGAAAATCAATCTAAGTATAAAAAGAGACAACTGATGGATACAGACAGGTGGAGAATTACAAAGAAAACAAGACGACAATGTTGGTTATTGTGATAGGCAGTAGTATTAGCACATCAAGGGCCTAAACTTTGTCAAGTTTCTACAGTACAGTAGTGAAACTCTACATTGATATGGTTTCAATAAATGAATGAACCAGGCAGTAAAATATACCTATGGTATAATGATTGATCATACAGTTTAAAAAGTAATATTGTTTAGAAAACTGTAGGTTTAAATCTATGCTTCCTTTTATTTCCTTCTTCTTGCAGGCTTAGTTATGAATCCCTTACTGCACTTGAAATACCAAATGATATGCTTCATATCATCCAGGATCTTATTTTGGATCTTCGAGTACGTTGTATAATGGTCACCTTACAACACACAGCTGAAGGTAATTAAAAAGATGTGCAGACCTATATGCATATGGTTAGGATTTTTATTTTCTCTTTGGTTAAATCAAATTGCATGCGAGAATAAATCGTGGTCACATTAGGTACTTGAATCAGTAATGAGATTACCTATATTTCACAAAGTCACAAGACCTATTAAGATATTCTATCATTTCCCTGAAAGTACTCACTTGTTCCCTTTATTATAAGCCTTTCTTTCCCTTTGATACAAAGCAGCCATTTTTTCCAGTAATTTACGGTATTTTCTCCAAATCGGATAAGTTTCAATTTATTTGTACTTTTTGTCATGACACAGCTATTCCATACAGTGAATCAGCATTATTTCTGTTCTCTTCTGTAATTTTGACTAAAATCTGAATATCATATTTGTGAGCAAATCATAAAACCTTTATGTAATTTTAGTTCCGGTTTTGTCAAGGATACTCATCATTTGTTTCTACAGTCTTATTTAGTTCTTTGCGGTCATAAATTCATAGTTTTTTAAGGACAAAATGCTCTAAAATAACTTGTATTGCACAGGTCATAGAATTTCAGTGAGTTATCCCTGAATTAAGACAAATAACTTGTTTGACTAACTCATTTTTTCCAAAAAGAAATCAAGTCTTGGTTTGAAAAGTTCAAGAGATGGAACATTCACAGTTTTCTTTGGTAGTTTGTTCTAAAGGTTATTTATCTTCGCTGTTTAGAAATATAGCATTGGGGTTTTTTATTTGAATTTGTTTGGCTTTTAACTTCCAGCTACAGGCAGTCCCCGAGTTACGCGGATCCGACTTATGTTGGATCCGCACTTCCGAACGGGGCTTTCTCGCCCCGGAGCTCGCAGGCAGCGGGACCGCCCAGAGCGCAGCGGTCCTGCCACCTCGACCTCCGGGGCGAGAAAAGCTGCTCCGGGTGCCCCTGGTCTGCTGGGGACCGTCTCCAGCAGACCAGGGACACCTGGAGCAAAGCCGGGGAGGCGGAGGGGTCCTGCGCCTCTGAGGCTTTGCTGTGGCAAAGCCGGGGAGGCGCGGAACCCCGCCCAGCAACCCAGGGGCACCGGGAGCAAAGCGGTCCCGCGCCAGAGCAAAGCCTCAGAGGCGAGGCACCCCCCGCTGCCCCTTTGCTCCCTGTGTCCCTGGTCTGCTGGGGGGAGGCGCAGCTAGTGTACCCCCCCCCCAGCAGACCAGGCTTTTATTGTGGACCCTGGGGTAGAGCAGCTGAGGTGCTGCCGGGTTAGTCCTGCAGGAACCTACCTGGCAGCCCAGCTGTTCTGTCCCAGGCTCGAGATTCAGCTTCTGTTGAAACTGATCAGTGGCTGATTCCAGGAAGCTGGGGGCAGAGCAATTCTGCCTCCAGCTTCTTGTAGTAAGCCCCTGGTCATTTTCAGCAGCAGCGGCTGAATCTGGAGCCAGTTCCGACTTACATACAAATTCAACTTAAGAACAAACCTATAGTCCCTATCTTGTACGTAACCCGGGGACTGCCTGTATTTGTTTTTGTTATGCATTATTTCATTACCCAGTATTTTCTTCCTGCAAAGGTATACGTATGCCATGCTCAAGTCTCATGCATAAGTTAAACACATTGTAAGTCTCTCACTGTATGGTATTTTTTCCAGCCTTCAGATCATTTTTGTGTTCTCTTCAGCATCTTCTCCCATTTTTCAGTTTGTTGGGTTTTTTTTTAATGGTCACCAGCAATAGATGAATTATCCCTGTGTTGGTCTCATGAGTATAATATACAGAGGTAAAATCACTTCCCTGCTCATTCTCACTACTTCCCTATTACGTCACACTAACAAGCTATTTAGTGCTCCAAAAATCCAAGTAGAACACTTCCATTGTCATGCCTTCGTTGATTAATTTCAAACTCTTTAAAAAAGAAAACCAATCCTATTTATTATTTTTACTTGCTTTAATCTTGTTTTGTTTTTTTCTAATCAACAGCTTTGTAAATTCAGCATGGGTTCTGGGAGTCAAGCTCCTTTCCTTGTTTCTGCTTTATCACTGGCAATAAAGGTCATCCAGACTAAATTATGCTAATACCATGTTACACAGTGAGGGCTATACAAATGCAACTGATTGAAAAATGGTAAATAATTCTTCTGATGATACACAAAAAGGAATGTAATTCAGCTCCTTCCTTTGAATATGCATTTTAAAAGAACTATTTCTATTTCATGCCAATCATAATTTTATTCCACTAATATGTCTGGATTAAGGATAGAACATTAATGGCAACTCTGAAATTTTTCTTGCTTGGCTTATACTGTGCCTTGTATTTCTGTTAATTTTTAGTTTATTCATCTTTATGGGCAAAAGTGCTTTTTTTAGTGCTTTTTAATTTTCAGTTCTGTAACTGTAAAAAAAATTTTTTTTTAAATAATGCATTCATGTGATATAGTGGTGATGGGGTTCTCTTATGAAAGCTGTGTCATGGTACTAAGCTGTACATTATTTTGTTGACTTGCAGACTACATTTCATTAGTAAATGCAATTTAAACAGTAATCTAAGGGTATAAATTCACATTTAAAGATCATTTTATCTTGTATCTCAGATCCTACTTTCAAGGATACCACCTATGTTTATTTTGCAAATGGATTTTTGCTGGAATCAAGTGTTGTTTTGTTTTACAATTGTCAAACTGAAAAGTTACTGTGTGGGATGCACTGTGTGGGATGCTTATTGTCTTTTAGTAGTACACATGTTCAGTTTACAAGAAAATAGAAGAGTATTTTTCTAATCACCAGTCCTATAAACTCAATCTCAGCCCTGAGAGTCAAGGTGATTTCTTTTCTTGTCATGCATCATCACTGGCACCAACATCATGCAAACTGAATTATGCTAATGTCAAGCTAGACAATGAGGACTGTACAAGTGTAACTGACTTAAATTAAATAAACAGTTCTTTTGATGATGCTCAAGAAGGAATGTCATTCAGCTCCTTTCTTTGTATATGTGTAACACAAATATGAAGTTGGCAGGTTCTGGAGAAGGTAACAAATTTTACATAGACACTTTTCAGAGTCTAGTACTTCTTGAGTGTACTACAAGATGCTCCTTTGCCTATTAATCAATCTCACAACACCTGTTAATCAATCTATCAATCAAATCTACCTATTAATGATGACTGGGTTGAAGGTTAAATGGGGTAACCGTTGTAGATGCTGATAGGTACCTAAATTGTATGTAACTGATTCTTATACTCCTCTTCTTCCCCTCCTCTTTGTTATCCTTCTTATAATTTTTTTTTCTTATGTACTTTCTTCTTATAAGTGCTTCAGGGCCTGGCCAGACTTTTCATATATGTGTGAGCAACTTTTAGCACGCTGGAGTCCTGATCCTAATTGAGGACTCTCAACCCAACCCATACATTTTATAAGTATTTTATATAATTATCTTCAGAGGGCTAGCCAATTTAGTCTGTGCAGGATAAACTTACAAATAAACAAAGATTTTGGTAGCACTTTAAAGACTAACATAACATGTAGATGACATCATGAACTTTCGTGGGCATAGCCCACTTCTTCAGATGACCAGAGTGTTGGTGGGATAACTCAGTGGTTTGAACATTGGCCTGCTAAACCTGGGGTTGTGAGTTCATACCTCAAGAGGGCCATTTAGGGATCTGAAGCAAACCTGTCAGGGATGTTCGTCCTGCCGTGAGGGCAGGGGACTGGACTCGATGACCTCTCAAGGTCCCTTCCAGCTCTATGAGATAGGTATATCTCCGTGTCCAGAACCAAAATAAATAAGGGGGGGGGGGGACAAAAGGAAGCAGTGAGTATATAAATATCAAAGGGAAAACCGGGCTGGTATGTAAAAGGCAAAACTGAGAAACTATATTCACCTAAAAACTGGATAGTTAAAAGAAGCAGATAAAGACCATTAGTTAGCAATTAGAGAGGAAGAGTGTAGATTCTGGTGTTAGTACTCTTCCTCTCTAATTGCTAACTAATGGTCCTTATCTGCTTCTTTTAACTATCTAGTTTTTAGGTGCTTATAGACTATCAGTTTTGCCTGTTACATACCAGCTTGGTTTTCCCTTTGATATTTATATATCCACTGCCTCCTTTTGTTCCCCCTCTCCTCTATTTATTTTGGTTCTGAACATACAAAACTCCAGTTATCTGAAGAAGTGGGCTGTGCCCACGAAAGCTCATGATACCAACTAAGTGTTTTTTTTTTTAGTCTTTAAAGTGCTACCGGACTATCTGTTGGTTTTTATCTAATTATGTGAGTCTTAACACTTGTCCTGATCTCAGATAAAGTTATGTATTTGACTATTTGGTTTTTCTAATTGGCTTGATCAAGGAAAAATAAACATTTGGATTCCTAAATATAATGCCTATTTTATGGGGTACACAACATGTCCATTAAAAAAGAGCACTATAACAATATTCCATTAACCTCAAGCTTTCCAGTAAAAGGTGGGATTTCAGCAACTGTTGCAATGCACCATACATTTTACTTCTGTAGGAGAAAACAGCAGAAAACTCTTGTATGTGCACCTTTATTAATCATTTAGTGGCAGAAATCTTTTATGTAAGGCCAATGTTTTTGTATGCCTACTCATCACTCTTAGGTGCCTATGGTTTTGTCTATTCTGAAGTTCAAAGAGGTTTTTAAATATATATATATA